AAGAGAAGGTGGAAGTGAGCTCAATTCCGAAAGCAACTTCTACTTCATTGCTTTGCTCAAGCCCTGTAGATGTCATTGTTATTGGTTTCTCTCCCCTTTTAAAAGATAAATATTTAAAAAATGTGATATAGTAAGTCTCAGCAATGAAGTAATAGGGTAGTATAAGTAGCTCAGCCTATTCACCAGCATGGTTCTGGATGTGCTTTTCTCTCTTAAATGGGAAAAGCTTTGACAATTTAGCCACCAAATTGCAAAGTAGGTGAAGTTTGGTTTAGCTCAGTATGCAAAAATTTATTCCAATTAAATTTTTAATCACTGAAAGGCAGTGGTAGACTAAATATTTGAGGTTTTTGACTGAGAAGCATAAAGGAAATGCCTGACAAAGCCCTTTTCACTAATTGAGAAGATGTTACCAAAACATGCTGTAAGGACAGAATAAATTAATCTTATCAACATTTCTAAAGTTAATTTTCAAACATTCCTTTTTAGTCTGTTTTGAGTATACCGTGATTTGATCTCACTAATTTTGTTATTGAGAATAGTGTTAGGGGGTTTTGTTCTAATATCATTCAAACATAGGCTGCTTTTTGTTGAGCAGTTTCTTTCATTCTTTTCTACTTTTTTATGTGTTTAAAACCACAAAAATAAGAAGTATTGGTGGGGGTGAAGTTTATCTGGACCAGTGATGCCAAAGCACTGTGTTGTCTGATGCTAAACATGCTTTTTAAAAGCAAGAAACTTCTTGGTGATGATGGTGACAAATTTGTTTGTGCCTAAGGTTTGCTACTGCTGGCTTTCATGATTATATACACCTTTTCTGATCCTGCCTTGAAAGCTTATCCTTGATGCCCCTTAATTTTCTTCCTGCACTTTGCTTATATCATATCTACAGTTAATAATTTCTGTCTCTGCTCAGGAGTGAGCACCTTTGTGTAGCTGCAGTTAAGATATTTGCATTATTTTAAACAGAAATACTGTCTGAAATTTTTAAGGAGCCTAAAAGCTGGTCTTGTATCAGAATAATTAAATTAGGTTCTAACATGAGTATTTGGGGTTTAGAGTGCAAATATGTAGACACAAGGATGCAAACAGGCCCTAAGGGCATGTCTGTACAGAATTTCAGTAGATTTTGGTTTTCAGCCTAACTGGCAGATTGCTACTTAAAGAGTCAATGTAGGGGTGTTTTTCTTGAAGATTTAAAGCAGCAAACATTCTAATTGTCTTTAAAAATGAGGAAGATACAATTCAAAGGAGTTTGTTCGAGCATGTTCTGGAAGGAGGCAGTCATAGAAACACACATGTACATTACTATCAGTGTTCATCTGTGGGCTGTCTTTGTCTTGTCTGAAATCACTGAGAACGTGTCAGTTCCAAGTCAATGTTAATGTACCTTAAAATTCCTTGTCCCTGAAAGGAAGGGATCTCAAAGTCATTTACAGACACTGTGGGACATTGCTGTCTAAGTTAATGTGCCCTTTTGCTCTGGCATTCCATCAGCACAGGGAGAGCTGCTGACATGAAAGCACATCCTAGTGAAAAGCAGGTAAAAGCTGTGTGTGTCCCAGGCTAGGAAGGAAACCATGTACCAGAGCAGCCACCACTCTTATCAATGTTACAAACTGTTAACAAATACAGGAAATGTACTTTGCTAAAAGCAGTGTGATGTGGAGATCTACCATATTATCAATGGTATATTTTGCTTCATTTCTTGTCTCTGAAAGCATTTAACTCAATTTTAGGGTGATTTAGATTGTAGTTTTGAGGAGGTTTTTTTGGTAAATTTCATGTAGAAGATGCTTGACAAATCTGTTTTGTGTTTGTCTTGATGTGTGCAGTGGATTGCTGTTAAATGCTTTATGAAGCAAAAGCTACTTCTGTATTTTAACTGCTTTTTTTCTTGTACAATCTTACTGCTTTTTCCATAATACAGTAGAACTTCAGTCACAAGTTTCATTCCCTTGCAGATGCTTAAAAAAGTGTAATGGGTAACTAAAAGTAATCTGTCATGAAGTGTTTGAAGGCTTGTGAAAGTTGCATGCATTTTCATAAAGTGTTTTGTTATTGTTCTTGTAACCCATCAAAAGACATAAACTTCATATGGAAAAAATGCCAATTCCTAAAATTTAATGAAGCTATTGTGATTTGAAGTTCTACTACATGGTATGTGTTTCATCTGCACTGGGAATATAAAATTTCAAGCTGACAAGTTCTTGCTCATAAGTTTTTTTCAACAGTTTTGCAAGGAGCATTTGCAGGGAGTTTTGTGGCGAATCTGCTTTGTTTGGTTGGTTTTTTTTTTTTTTTAAATCTTGTTATAGGGACACATTTGTGACTTTGCAATGCAGTCTTTGAGAGAGAACTCCATTAATGAGAAATACCTACTTAGACCAGAGGACTTAAAGCTGGGATTCCAGTGGACTGCTTTTGTCTCTTTAAAATATTTGGAATGTGGCATTACTAAATGATATTTTGGCTTTACAAAAGTGCTGAATGTATCCAGCTTCAAATGGGTTTGGAGGTTTTCTTGAAATCTGGCCTAATGACTTTCTGTCCTTCCTTAGTGTATGAAGTTGGTGTAATAGTCATCAGCTATTCAGGCTGCCCGTTTGAAATGTATAAATTAATATAATTTTTCACACAGTCGTTTCCATGCAGATGTTTGCACAAGATGAATTTCATTTAGTATGTAGTAGCTGGTCACTCTGTGGTCAAGCTCTGCTGTAGCGCATGGGCTTTTTACAAGCAATTTTTATGTCTTGTGTGATTGGTGATTATTTCTCTAGCCAACTGGTGGCATTCTTTAGCATAACTTTGAACCATTCATATGGGTTTTGTTACTTGGTCATGCTATGTTGGATTTCTGCGCTGTTTAGATGGTCTGGGAAAAAGCCCAAAGATGGCCTTGGGCCCCCGGGTTCGAAAGGACGAGAGGAAGCTTCAGATTTGTTCTTGGTCTCGGTGTTTATTAATTGCTTATCTAAAAGATTTTCTCTTGGCCTGACAGAGTTCTGCTCAGCAGTCAGCCATGGGCACACACTGAAAGCCCCTGGGGCGGTCACCTATCTTTATACCCGGAGTTACGTATACAATATTTATCATTTTTCTCCAATACCCTCTATCCTTATTAACCAGTGTTCCCCTAGTAAGGTCCAATCCCGGAGTGCCAACATCACCACAGAAGATGGAGGCTTAGAGGAAGAAGAAGAAGGAGAAGGGCACGCCCCAATCCCTCCATCTTGCCTCTCTAGACCCCCCTGTACAGGGATCTTAAACCCTGTATCTCACACTCCAATTAACTTGTCCCTTCACCATTCACCCCAGTGAAATCCTCCCGTCCTCATACTGATGTCATCTCCCATGTGGGATCAAAGTCCAGCCACCAGACATTTCTGGCAACATTCCAGGACTCCCGAGCCCCCCAGGGGTAGTCTGGTTCACCCTGCACCCCAGTTCTGAGAGACTGAGATCCCACAATGCTACTTCTTTTAAAATTAGCCTTTATATAAAAGTATTTTAGAAGATGAACTTGTGCTGATGAAAGATGATGCCCATGCTAGTGAAAGATGTGTGGAAACTAAAGTTTCTGAAATATCATGATGATCCTTTGTTATGTAAAACAGAACAGAGATGAGGGCTGTCATGTAATCTGAAGAGTAAAATAAATGAGTAGGTCTCTAGGTAAAGTGATGGGAGTCCTACAGTCCTATAGCAAGATCTCTTGCATCAAACACTAGTTTTAGTTATTCTGCAACTAAGTTGAAAGTACGTACCTGTATAAAAATACTGGCTTTTTTTGAATTTGTACAGAGCTGCAGTTCAAAAGTCAGTATTTTAAACATATTTTTAAACACAGACAGCAACAAGGCAGGCAGTTTTAACATCTGATTTATAGTGCAGTGAAATAGTGCTTTTACTTATAGAAAACTTACACAATATGTAATATTTCTTGTCTCTTTTGGCTCTGTCTTAGGTAAATGCTATGCGTCTTGCACGTAACATCACGCTTTAAGACAATATGTGATGTAACAGCAATGACTTAACACAAAATACACTTTTGATCAAATAATTTTCTTTTGTAACTAAACCTGAAGTAGTGAAATGATTGTCCTATCTGTTGTGTTCACATTGCAAAATTCTGTTGTTCAGGACAACCTAAAGCTAACCCAATCCTTCACCAGTTCAAAGAGAAATTGTATTAATATAAAGTAGAATATTCTCAACTGCTTTTATGTACAATAAAACCTTCAAACAACTGATAAAGAGATGAGAAAAAGGTAAAGCTATAAGACCATTCAATATAATCTATTGTTTGAGAAGAAAGTTCAGACCTGCTAAAATATCAGTGATGCCTCTGAGGGTCTTGAATCTCTGCCAAAGCTGTTTAGGCAGCAGATGTGGAAGAAGTGTAGATGGAGAAACTTGAATTGCAGAAGCCACATGGAAAGCAAGTCAGAGTCAAGAACAGAACACTGATCCCCCAGTCCTCTTCTGGCCACACAGTGGGCCTTAAAGTGTTTGTGCTCTTATCTTTTTGAAATGGAGTTCAAAATTTTATGTTTTGTCTTGCTTTCAGGGTTACAAAATTTACTAATTTTAAATCTCCCTGTTTTAAGGTATTAAGGGGCAGCTAAAATGGATTTTTCTTAAGGTTTATACTTGAAACCTAATGTAATTGAAAACTTGAACTACTGTAGCAATGAAAAAAACTTTGTTTTTTCTTTTTGAGATGGTTGCTTCTTACTTTTTTCCTTGCTTTCCCTTGATCTATGTACTGGTCATGAAAATGTTTCTTTTTTCAATAAACTGTCAGGGAATGTTGTTACAGTAATCAGTGGTGAGGTTCTCAGATGAATATCTCTAAATATGCATCTCACAGAAAGGCAATGAGGCTAAGAAAGGAAAAAAAATGTAGCATGGATTTTAACTACTTTATTGAATAATATTTTAAGGTGTTACTTCATCCAAGTTGGAATACTGTCAAATTCTATGTTTATATACAGGAACTTGACAAGAGGAGTTGGTAGATTTAGAGAGTTACTAAGAGCTGTCGAAACAAGAACTACACAAAACCTGCGAATGGTGAGTTGTATTAAACCCCTTTCCTATTCTACCATCTGAGTTTCAGTAGGCAGAGAAAGCACAAATACAGTGGATGAGTTAGAGACAAATAGCTGGATATGTAGCATATTGATAAGGACCTGTTAGCCCACACTTTATAAGATTACATTTCCTGGTTTAAGAATGATTAATGAATGATTAAAGAATGTTTTGTACCCAGTCTCCTCCCTATTCCTTTTTCTTATTTGTGGTTATAATTAGAACCTGACTGGTCTCTGATTGACCATACTTTCAGCCTTAGTTATAATTGCCTTATTTATGAGTCAATGTAGTTTTATGTTCTGTAAGGTAGTGGGGGTGAGAACAAAAGGCATCATTTTTGTGTGGTTCCTATCAAGTTGAAGGCTATCAAGTTATAAAGCCTCTTAAAGGAAAACCATAAAAGCAAAATCATGAATATTTGTCACTTATATTGTCAGAACCTTGAATCTTTCATATAATAAAAGTAGAGGCTCATTTTTTACTGCCATGTAATTATTTTCAAAATATCCTAGATTAGTTTCCTAATGCTGGGCCTTTAAAACTTCCGCACTAGTAGTAAGGAAGGTAAGTGATTTCTTAATTAATTCAATAACTGATTCCTAGTAAATATATTAAAATTATATAATGCTAGACTTTCAATGGAGAAGGATACTATTGCAAACTTTAATAGGATGAAGAACTTCTTATGATAAAGGAGTTAAGGTGGAAGATGCACATCTTAGGATGCTCTCTGCAACTTGGACTGCTCCAGTGTGTTCTCTCCCATGCAAACAACTGCTCCAGGTCTGAAGAGGCAGTAGAAGTTATTGAGCATCTTAGGTTATTGATTTTCTTAGGAGTAGCAGCTGGGTTGTTTATACTTCAGAAGTATCTGGATTAACTAACAGAAAGGAAAAATTGTTTGTTATTGTTGTTCTTTTTCTTTGTGTTTAGAGAATTGAACTGGGTACTTTTACCTTTTAAACAGCATCATGGCTGGTTTTTTTGGATGTTATAGAGTACAAAAATACATTCCATATAAATAGTCGTCATTAGAAAAAATCTGAGCATTTTTAAGAGTTTGTATTCAGCACTTCTAGGGAAAATGTTTATCTTTTGCTTTTACAGACAATAGCAAGACAACTTGCAGAAATTTTGTTACGAGGTATGTGTGAACAGAGTTACTGGAATCCCCTGGAAGATCCTCCTCACCAATCACCCCTTGATGATCCACTGCGAAAAGGTTCCAATATGAAGAATTATGCACTCAGTAGGAGACCACGGGTATACACTGGAGAGAAGTATGGCTGAGTTTAAACCTCTTTTGTTTCTATAGTTGCAGTTGTTACCCAGTGCAGTGGATAATTTAGTTTGCATTTTTGAAAATGTAGAAGGAATTTAGCAGTGTGTGGATAGATAGATAGATTCTCTGAGGAGAACCAGGGAAGAAATATGCTTCTCCCAGGGGAAGTTTGCACTGCATGCATTAGACCTTTTGTTCTCAGTTGCAGAAATATTTTTTTTTATCCTGGTGTATATGATAGACTTAATATCTCTTATTATATGTGGGATACAAAAGAAAACATGAACTGGGTAGCAAATCAGATTTGCACATTGCAAAATCTGCACATTTTAAAAGTTATGTGCTGCTTCTAGACAACTATTATATGCTTTATCATAGAAAGGAAATATACAATAATATGGAGATTCAAGTTGGTCCAGGAAGCATTATGAAAAAAATAATGTGTCTAGAAATTTGTCTAGCAGTTTCAAAGCTAGTTTATTTTCCAAGGCTAATCTTTTAGCTTATGATCTTAGATTAATTTTGGCATTTCTGTTATGATTCCACCTTTTAATTCAGTTTTAATCTTTCGTTGAATCAGGTAAGTGATACTTTTTGGTTCATTTTTGTCTGGTATATCTCATAGTGAATTCTAGAGTAGCTATGGTATATTTCTTTCTTCTTGAAAATGTAACTTTTTTTCCCAAACTAATCACCAATAGGGTTACTATTAAATATGGATAGCCATTTCCTTAAATTTGAAATTTTTCTTCAAAGTTAGTATCTTGACTATGGAAGTAGCCCTACTTACTTAATGGAGGGATGTTTTGTTTTAGTGTTCACTTTATATTGTAACATAAATGCCTGCAATATGACACCATTTGAGTTGTTTAGCTGTATTTTTTTCAGAGTTCCATTAACACAGCAGCAAGCCCACATAATTATGGTGTATTTACTATTATTAAGTAGAATGGCCTTTATCTTCAAAGACTTCTAGCAGTTCTCCTTCCTGCATCCAGAATAGTTACAGCAGGTTTCTCAGGCTCAGTCTTTCAAACTTATGTTCTCCATTCTCAACTCATCCTTCACAGCAACATGCTTCCTGCAAAAGTGGGATTTTGTTCAGTTTAGTTGTCTTGTTCTTGGCACGTGCAGCTGAGGAGTTCCACAATTTCAACAGAGCATGCAATTAATTTTATGTGACCTTTCATCAGATTAGACTGGTTAATACCATACCACATAAAGTATGCCCAGCCAAGCATCTCATTTCCAGCAGTGACTGAAAGCAAGTATCAAAGACAATGACATCTAGGAAATTTTTTTCCTATGTGTTTTTTTGACCACCAACTCTGAATCTGCAATGCACTTTTTTCTAAGTATGTTGCCTGACATTAAATAACTGCATTGTGTTCTTATGAGGATTATAGGTGTAATTTGGCTAATAGCATTTATGGTTTTTTAGATCTCTGTGTTATTGCTTCTTCAGTTTACCTGAACCAGTTCTTCAAATGAACATAACTTCCACGGTTTGCCTTTGGTTGATAGCTGTTTCATGTTTTCAGTTGCTTCTTTTGCCCTGTTACACTGAAATTATTTTACTCATGTGCCTGCATCTGTCAGGACAAACAGAAAATGAGTTCAGTTAACTGAGCTTTTTTGCTAAGGTCAAAGAAATGTCTCGCTAATTTCTGCACGGGAAGGATTTTGTTTGAGACAAACGTCAACATATCTACAAAAATACGTTTGAAATTGCTAGAGGAAATAATGTTTGCTTTTGTTTGATAAGTAGCTTTTTAGTAGTACTTTTTGGGGCAGCATCTCTTCTTTCTCTGAGAGAATAATTTCTCCAGCAACTCTTTCCAGTCATTATTCTACTTTCTGGGTGCCATTGTCAGTTGGTCAGGTTAAGTCTTCTTCCAGGTTGTTAAATTCTGCATAGAGGAGTGGATTGTTAAATAAGGAGCACTCTGATGCTTCCTCGTCACTCCTCATTCCTCATCGTGGGTGGTTCTTATTCATGACTAACTATGTTTTGAAATTTCTTTTGTTATGTAATAACAAATTATATGCTAAATTCTAAGATTTGGAATACTCTTAAAAATCTGGTGAGCAGTTGCATTGATTAAAAAATAAAAATACAACAACAGAAGAGCTGCCCTAGGGTCTTAGCTGTTGTATATTACCACAATACCTTCACAATGTTGCTTTCAAACTGCCTGGAATTAAGTTGTCTTTTAGTTTCTATTTTCTTTCAGGCATTGAATTACTGCTTATATTTCTAGTGCTTAAAAAAAACCTGAAAAGATGTTTTAATGTCAGACAAGTTTTGTTTCCTGTCTATAATGTATTGTAGTTTAAACATCCTTGGGACCATAGGAATTGATTACTAACAGCAATAAATAATTTTCTCCATTTAAATAGGCAATTGTGGAACTAATGGACTGCATTAATAGGAAATACTGCTTGGGCTAGTTCAGAATAGTTTAGAGGAAGAAAGCTGAACAGATAAAACATAGTCACTGATTTGGGGGATTTTTTAGTGTGTATGTGGATGGATTCATGAATTCCTGCCAGTACCCAATGCAGATTACTGTTGTCTTTCCACCAGTATAGAAGAGTTTTCAGAAAGTATCCAGTATTCAGAGAAAGCACTAAAGTCTAGAAACTAGTCCTATGCAAACCTTCAGCATTAAGTTGGAAGGAACTGTACTTCATTACAAGCAAATAATTCTATTACTTAGAGCTAAGAGTGGCTGAGGCAAACAGGTGGAGATTGTCATGGATCTATTTAAAAATATTCATAGCTATTGAAAGCATCAGCAAAAATTTTTTAAAGACTGATAGAAGTATTTCTCCACATACTGCCTAAAATACAAAAGTTCTCCTGTTCTTGTCTGAGAGTTTCCTCTTGCCAGCACTTGAATCAGTGATGTAGATGGAGCTCAGACAGATTAGGTGTAACAGGGTAGTTAAACTATGGGTTTAGTGTTTACAGTTGTCAAATTATGTTCAATTTTGGGATATTTGAATAAGTTCAACTCTGACAGCTGTGGTAGTTTTGTTCTTTTATTGTGTTCAGCCAGCTTTTCTGAAATGCAAATACAGAGCATTGCAAAGAAATGCATTTTAACAAATTGATTTTTTTATGCAAGTTACATTCCTTTTCTTTTTTGGACATTTTCCAGTTTTTACAGTGCTTTCATATATGTATGTGAATTACTCATAAAAGTAATGTGTTCTGCTTAAATAATTTAATTTTCATTTTGAACAGCATCTTCTGTCCTCAAGAAAATACAGAAGAAGCCTTACTGTTGCTGCTTATTAGTGAATCTATGGTAGGTAAAATAGAGTGAATGTGCATTTTCTGTATGTGTGTGCTTTCCTTGGTTTGTTTGGTTTGGTTTGGTTGGTTTGTTTCATTTTTAGTTAAAATGGGCTTTTTTTTTTCCTCAAGCCTTTGCTTTTTCTTTTATTTTCTGTTAGGAAAGCAGGCAGTTATTGCTGAAACTCAAATTTTTGATCCTCTGAGCCAGCTAGATGAGGTCTGCAAGTGTTATGGAGTTTTTCTCCTTTAGGCTGGCTGTACCCAGCCTTGTTCCAGCCAGAGGCAGGTCAACAAGCCAAGTCCTTCATTTGGCATCACTTACCAGCATGAAGCATTGTTGCACCAGTTGGTTGCTATTCAGACAGACACAAAATCTAAGTTATTTTTGTTGTAAAAAGCAAATAAAAAACTACTAGAAGAACATAATAAACATCATCAAAAAGTACCTTCCTTTGTGCATTAAACTTCAGTCACTCAAATTTGTAAATTATTTTTAATGATGCTGACATTCAGTCTTGGCTACTGAATTATTTTTTTAAATGTACCCATTTCCTCAATAAATGATTCCTTTCAATGGTCTACTTGTGCCCTTTATCAACCTGCCATATTTTCTGCTAGTCATCAATCAACTGCCACATACTGACATTCTCATATCATGTCAGTTTTATGTTCTCAGATAAAATAAAGTGCTGGAGCTTTTGCTGTTTTTTTTTTTTTAGCTAGAGGGGTGAAATCTCTACAGTCTCAGGCATCATGCAGTCTGTCTCACTGCACATCAATGAGATGAAGTCTTTTAAGTTCTACAGGTGATTCAAATGCTTACATGATTTGGCATAATTTCTGTTTTGCTACAGTTAAATAGGATCAGAACATTTCAATGAACATTGTCCTAGTTTAACTGTTTTAAGGTGGCAGATATTTACATTGTAGTGCTAACTGCTGTCCTCATTCCTAGTGATCTGCCTTGCAGTATTCACGACAGAATCTAGAAATTCTGTCTAGATTGTGATTTTCCTAACACAAAAAAATCAGCTGAGCAAACATTTTGACTTATCATATGTTGGTTTTGCTACAGAATATGCTGAGGGGTGCTGCCTGTTTCTCTGTAATGTGCAGCAGTGAAGATGTAGAGAATTCTGACGTGAGCTGTGGTCTTGGTGTGAAGTGAAAGCAGTCCCAGTTCTGCAAGATCTGACTGCTGATTGCTGTGTAGTATCATCATTAAGACGCCAAAAATCAAATTAAAAGTACTGCCTTGTTAAGTGTCATTTCAGGTTACTTACAGCTTTTCCTTTGTGAATTAGTTCTGCCTAATTATATCTAATGCTGTCACTGTAGAGCATATACCTTTAGCAAGCTTTCAAATTTTTTTACAGTAATTATTGCAGATTATTTCGGGCAAAAGAGTTTGTTTCGGGGGAGTATAATCTTTGACATGATTGACTTACTTTGGCTAAGTCATTTGTTCAAATTAGTTTTGGAGGGGGAAAAGGGGAAGATTGAGCATAAAAATATTCATCATTACAAATGTACCTTTCTGAGAGTTGAGACCTGTTATTTCAGCTTCAGTGCATGCTAACTTTCTAGCTGTAGTAGTTGTGAAGTGGTATGTGATTTATGATTCTGAAACCAATATCTCGGAAAGAAATAACACTTAGAGAAGACTGAGTAACAGTTGGTGTTTTGATATGCTATTGTGTTGTTAAAGTACTATGATCCCTTACTTTCATTGTCTGTGAATTAGTAAGAAAATACCCCAATCAAGGCCAGGTTGGACAGGGCTCTGAGCAATGTGGTCTGGTGAAAAGTGTCCCCACCCATGACAAGATGATCTTTAAAACATCCCTTCAAACCCAAACCATCCTGTTGTTCTGTGATGTGACATCCTCAAGTTAACAGTGCATGTATGTGTTGCTGCATGTCAGCTGAGTAGTGGTAGCAGAATCACAGAATGATTATGTTTAGAAGAGACTTCTGGAGGTCATTTTGTCCAGTCCCTTGCTCACACAGGGCCGCCTGGAGCAGGCTGCATCTCTCTCCAGACATCTTTTGAGTATCTCCAAGGAGAAAGATTCCACAGCCTCCCTGGGCAGCCTGTGCCACTGCTCATTAACCCTCAGAGCAAAAAAGAAAAAAAGGTTCCTGATCTTCAGAGGGGACCTTCAGTGTTTCACTTCATGTCTATTGCCTCTAGTCCTGTCACTGGACACCACTGGAAAGAGCCTGCCTCCCTTTTCATTGTATCCTCCCTGCAGATATTTCTAACCCTGATAAGGCTCCCCTTCTGAGCATTGTCTTTTCCAGGCTGAGGAGTCACAGCTCTCTCTGCCTTTCCTCATAGAAGAGTTACTCTGGTGTCTAATACAGCCTGGTGGGCATTTGTTGGACTCTCTCCACTAGCTCCATGTCTCTTGCATTAGAGAGTCCAGAACTGGACCCAGTACTGCAGGTGTGGCCTCACCAGTGCAGAGCAGAGGGGAAGGATCACTGCCCTCAACCTGCTGGCAGCACTCCTCTGATGCTGCCTGGGCTATCAATGGCCTTTTTTCCAGCTGGGGCACCTTGCTGCCTCCTGCTCACCTTGGGTGCCCACCAGGTCCCCCAGGTGTGTTCCTGTCAAGCTGCCTTTGAGCTGGGTTTGTTCCCTCCCAGGTGCAGGACTTTGCTGAGGGCTTTTCTGAGGTTCTGTCAGCTCATTGCTCCAGCCTGTTGAGGTCCCTCTGCATGGCAGCACAGCCCTTTGGCATTTCAGTTCAGCAAATACACTTTTGGGGTCAGGCCCAGTATCAATCCCTGGGACACACCGCTAGTTCCTGGCCTCCAACTAGACTTTGTGTCACTCCTCATCACCTCCTGGGCTCAGCTTTGTGGGAGATGCTTAACCAGTGGAAAAATGGCTGAGCACTGGCTCCGAGGCTGCGCTGAGTTACACTGCTCAAGTGTGTTACAGGTGTAAGTGTGGCCAGATGAATGACACATTGCAGTTTGACTGCCATCTCAGAGTGTCTGACACCATGGCACTTCTGAAATACTGAGCACTTCCATTCCTACATACTTTCTGTTTATAATTACCAAGAAAATGATTGTTCAGATACGCAAGATATCTGTAATAATTATGAGACATCCTTGTGCTTTGGCAGTGTCAACCACTGTTTCACAAGAAGTGCTAGTTCACAGCTTGTTCAAAACTTGCAAGGAACTGAGTCAAATAGTGATTAGAGGTGGAGTTAAAAAGAAGTTCTTGAAGTTGACTGAATATTTATGCAGTGTAAAAAGTAAAAGCCAAAGACTTCTTCATCAAAAGAAAGCAAAATATCTCTTTGGGGGTGTGTGTGTGTGCATGTGTGGGGTTGTTTCAAATTAAGATGTGGATTATTCAGTTGATAATTCTTGAGATGTCTGTGCATTTTACATTCCATGTATCTCTTAGAAAAATTTTCAGTAATTATTTATTCTGATTTTAAAGATGTACTGAGTTTTTTCAGAGCTTAAAATGTTACCCGGTTGAAGTGGAGAAAAAATTTATTATCCCTTATTGTGTGTCATTTTTTGCATCTATAAGAGGGGGAAATAAGCTAGCTATTAAAATTTAGTAGTTTTAAGTAAATGTGCTAAGGAGGCCATGCCCAGTGAAATTAAAAATAAAGAGGGGGATAAGGAGAGAGAAGTATCTTTGACTTCTGATTGCAGACTGCCAGATATACTTGAATTTGTACCAATGTGCAATGGGAATATTAAACACCAAGAAAACTAGAAATAGATAGGATAGCAAGATAATGTGTTTTCAGAGGTTTGATCATAAAGTGGGAGAAGCACTGTGTAGTTCAGGGAGGTGCTAACTACTCTGAGACCTGAATTTTGTTCTTTGCTCTTGAACATGGTTTCTCTGTGAACATGGTCAATTCATTTAATCCATTTCTAGCTCAGCTTTCTTCCTTCCCAAAAGGAACACTTTACTTAAGGAATTAGGTTTGCAACATGCCTTTCACAAAACAAAGTACAAACTCTTACTGCAAACATGGCCTGATTCCAAAGCTGTGCCCAGAACCAGGATCAGTTTTCACTTCTCAGTAGTAACTGCTGAAGGTGATAGTGGGTTATCCTGGGCATGTTACCATTCACAAGTGAGATGAGTGTCATAATGTTGTGAAGAGAAAAGAAGTTGATTGCCTTATTTTACAGAAGCTGGAGTAGAGGACTTGAAGATCCTTTTAGTATGTTTTACTAGCACACAAAAAATAAAGAGATATTTTCATAGATGTATATCCATTATATTGAAAATATACCTTCTTTTTTTTTTTTTTCTGAGAACTCTTCAATAACTTTAAATACATTACTTAGATTATGGAATTAGAAAGAAGTAATTAAAAATAGGTCCATGTAGAAACACCAGTCTTGCCACTAATATATAAAATTGGTAATTTTTTCTATCTATAAATTAGTATCAGATGTCTTTGTATCCCTTATAACAACTGCTGCCTGTGAGGTTGAGTAGAATGGTAGTAACTGGGGTGAAAAAATAGCTTGAATTCTAATGGCTGCCTTGGTTTCTCTCTTTGTGGTGTGTTTCAGGCTAACCGTGATGCTGTACTGAGCAGAATACCAGAGCACAAGAATGATCGCATCATCAGTTTGCAAAGTGCATCTGTAGTCTATGATTTACTTACAATAGCCTTGGGAAGAAGAGGCCAGTATGAAATGCTTTCAGAGGTTTGTTGATAGTAGTGAATGTTCATCTGTGGCATTTTTGCTGTTTTCTGTTAATCATGTTAATTGTGGTAGTAAGAAAGAGCTGAAACAAATATAGGACACTGTTATTCTGACTGCTTTATGAATACAGGAGGTAGTTTCCACCCCAAAATGTTTACTGTCTAAATTTATACAAGTGACTTGAGGTGGCCAAACAAGAAAAGTTGCATGGAAGGTGTGGTAAATGTTTAATGTCACAGAAATGCACATGATTTTTAGGTGGGGATGCATGGATCTGCTTAAAAGGGTACACAATTAATGTAGAGAGCAAGAAGGAATGGCAAAAAATAAAAGTGGTTCTGGATATAGAAATTATAAATATAATTTCCTAGAAAAAATATTATTAATGAATGAAAAAGGATTTTAGAAGAAAACTTTCTTTTATACTTCTTAATATTTGAGGTCATCCATAGTCCTTACAGTTTATAATAATTTTGAAGTTAATAAAAAGAAAATGAAGTCATTAAAAAAATGTTCAGGTCTTTGGGAAATGTGTTACTTACCTCACTGTCTGTTTCATTATGTAGCATGCTTGTGTTTGTTGTTTGTGGCAACTTCTTCAGGAAACTGCCAAGTACTGTTAAAAGTTTTCTACCTGTGAAACAGCTACAGCTCTTTGGGCAGAGCAGATCTTTCTACTGCTGAAACAGGGCTCACCCAGCAGCAGGGTACTGTTGCCGACCACAATTAATTATTAATCTCCAGAAAGAATATGAAGGCATACTCAGGAATTGATTCGTTGAGAAATGGTTTCTCTCTACCATATAAGAGGACTTCTATTAAGAAAAAGATAAAAAAAAAAGTGCTCTAGTTTTTCTCTGGTGTATATTGATGGTCATCCGTTTATCTGCATCTCACATGATGTTAAACCCTCAGTCTGAGTATTCTTTTTCTTGAAAGTACTTCATGGGTGCCAACTGGGATGCAAGTCAGTTTAAATCAGTACAATGGAAGGTGTTTCACAGAGCAAATGAGTACAATGCTCACACAGGCAACATAACCTAATCAGGAATATTTCCATTTACTTGTCACTACAGACACAATCACCTTCATGTAGTTTTAGGTGGTTGCACTAAAGGTGCAAGAGGTGGGCATCCATATATTTCAGTCTAGAACTTCCAAAACAAGAGATGTCAACAAGTATTTAAAAAAACAAACAATCAAGAGACCAAAAAACCTTGAAAATTTTGATTTCTTTTTTTCTCTAAGTGACTGGCAACCTTTCAGTTTTATATAGAAGACTAACAACTAGGCAGGGATAGAGCAGCCCTGGATTCCAAATCTGATTCTTACATTTTGTCTGGTGTCATTGTTGGTTTTGTTGCAGGGCTTTTTGTTGTGGGTTTTTTGTCTTTTTTAGAATGTTGAAGAACCATTATGTTTATGGAAACATTGCAGGTTTAGTGAGTAGAAGATATCTGCCCTCAAATCCTGCTGCTGATAGTCTGTAACTTTTATAATTTGAAGTATTGTAATAAACACATATTCAGAAATGTTAAAACATTCTGTTCAGTTATATAATAGGAATTTAATTTTTTAGGGTTTTATTCTCTTTGAGCTGATTTTGATTGCTCTGGTGGAGCAGTTGTAGATTAAATCAAAAATTGGGAAATTATTCTAACTGTGGAAATAGTATTCACCCACCAGTTCCAGTGTCTTCTTGCTCCCTTCTGGTTTAGCTAGAGCTGATTACTTACAGAAGTAGTTGGTTGTTATATAAGAATATGAAATGATCAAAAATCTGTCTCATCCTTGTTAAACTGTTCTAATGTCAAGTCACGTTCTTAACTGAAAAGGGCTCATGTTTTTATCAAGTTTGTATATAATGGGCTTTCAATTTCTTAGGGTAGCTTCAACTAGATGAAGGAACTTTATACTGTCAGTTCTTTCCTAAACAATAGTACTCTGGTTGTAATCAATTTCATTTTAAGCTTTGTAGGATGCATGATATTGAGCTTGTAAGTGTCCTACAAGAAGACATGACTTTGAGAGCTGTTAAATTCTTTTCCATATACAATCTGACAGCTTTTTTCATGTATTTGAATAATTTAATTTAATTTTTTTATTACATGTATGTTAGATAAGAGTCTATAAGAAATCTTAATACTAGTATGTCTTCTCAATAATTGAAGAGCATGAGCTGAAATAACAATTCCCCCCCCCCCCCCCCCCAATTTAGTGTTTAGAAAGAGCCATGAAGTTTGCATTTGAAGAATTCCATCTCTGGTATCAGTTTGCATTGTCCTTGATGGCAGCAGGAAAAGTAAGTCTAAATTTTTCCATATAATTCTTGTATTGGTGGCCTTTGATAACAATGTTTAGCACTTCCATAATTTTCATCTGTAGTGTTTTTGAAAATAATTCTAATTCTTGAATCAACAAAGTATGCTATACTCCTGAATTTATTCCCAGTGCTGTACAAAGAATGTTGTTATTTGAATAGTTTCTAACTTAGATGATGATAACAACTATCTTGCCAATAATCTTAAAATAAGCTGATTGAGTACAAGCAGTGGGTTATACCAGATCCTATTATGCATTTTTGATGACTTACTTTATTTTATACTTAGGTGCAAATTAATGCTGATTCGTGATGCTCTTCTTTTTTTTTTTCCTTTGGAAATTTCTGACTTTATCTTCCTTAATACTGCTGCCTTTGAGACTCTGTGTTCTGTGCAAATAATGGACTTTTAAAAAATTTAATCTAAACCAGAAACTTAAGCTTTTAGATGCAATTCTGTGTTTTCAGTTATTTTTGCTTTTCGCTGTCATGTTACAGAAAATACATTCACATGTAATGTAAACAACTAGCTTTCTTAAATATAATTTTCAATGGGATATTTTGCTTATTTTCAGAATGGGGGAAAGGAATGTATTTTTCTTAGAAAATATTTTAGCAGCACATGGGTTCCTGAGAGACTTGATTTTTCTTCCAACTCTATTTACTTTGAGTTATTTTCCAAACTGTGATTGGATGGACCCAAATAAGTTAAAAAAAAAAGAGGAGCAGTGCCATTCTATCTTATATCAGACCTATTCCTGTGTGTTGTTTTAACTCCCAAAGAACACCAAAACACTGCTTGTTTAGAAAACTCTGTCCCACTCCTTCTCTTTCATTTGTCTGGCTCAATTACTGTGAGTTTACAGGCCTAGGAAAGTTTTAGATGGGTCTCAAAACTGAATTGTGAACCGTTGGAATTACATTCTTCTGGGGATGCTTAATGAAAGTTTGTGGAGCTAAAAAACAATAGCAGTGCCTAAAGTCTTGTCTTTTACTGGCTTGAGGAGCTTTGACCAATTGTCAACAAAATGTGTAGTAATGTCTCCTTCACAAAGGAAAAATAAGTAAATGGTGGAAATAGGAATTGTGTATCTGTGAAACACATTTATGTTTTCAGTAATTTAAATGGAAACTGTTTTAAACAGTCTGCTCGAGCTGTTAAAGTCTTGAAGGAATGTATACGTTTGAAACCAGATGATGCAACAATTCCACTCCTTGCTGCAAAGCTCTGCATGGGATCTCTGCACTGGGTAAGCTCTGCCCTCTGTCTTCTCAGCAAGACCTGTGCTAAAATCTTGGTTTAGAGATGTAGCAAATATTTTTGCACAGTGACTGCATGCACGTGGGCATATCTAAAAACACAGCACAGAATGTACATGCACATGTACATCCCTGTTTGAATGGCTAATTTGAAATACTTGACAGAGCTTATGTTTATCAAGGTAGCCTATTCTGATACTGGTCTAAGACATAGCTTAAAATATACAGAAGTTGAAACATTGGAAGACAGATCATAAATGCAACTTAGTAATTCATTGGAAGACAGATCATAAATGCAACTGAGTAATTTTCTGCAAGAGGAAAATAACTTTCTGGAAAATAATGAGACAAATCTCTTATAATCAAGAGACTCATCTGATGGTACCATGTTTGCAGGCAGCTGTGGTTTATGAATTTGTAATAGGGACAGTTGAGTATTTTAGATAAACTTGGAATGGGTGTATCTGTATAAAAGCATTAAAGTGATCAAAGATCATTATGCTGTTTTCAAGATACTTGTGTAATTTTTAAAGAATGAGGATATTTGAAACAGAAGGAAAAGAGAAAGGAAAGGTCACATATAGCAGTTGAGAAAGTGGTGTAGTAGCACAAACATGACTTGTTGAGGCTGACAAAATACAGCCTTGATTAAGGTATATCCTAGTTCTGTGAATTGTTCCCTATGGATTGAGTCCATATGGACTTGCTTACTGTACTTAGCATTTACAGCTACTGGAATGGATTCAAATGGGCTTTTTTTTCTTTCTAGATTATTTAATAATGTGCTAGCATGGCAGCTAATCTTTGATTTTTTTATGTGTTTCTCTGTTTATGAGTTTGCACCATTCAGCAATACAGTATTTGAAGCAGAGTTCTGCATGGTATACTGTTTTTCTACAGGGTTAGGAGCCATAGTTGTTGTGATTGATTTTTCTAAATAAATGGTTCATGGATCAGGAACTCTATTGATAAAATGAAAAAATGGTAGATGGCATATATGGACCAGAAATACCTTTTTAATAAAGAAAAAAAAAAAAAGAAAAAAGGCAAAAAACACAGTAAGTGTGCTTTGTGCCAGATTTCTCTCAATCATAGGAATAGGTGTTTCAGCTTAAAATCTGTGGGCTTTACTCAGTATTTAGCAAGAAAACTAAGTCTAATGAAAAATGAAGTGTTCCTTCAAAGCAATCATGGCTGAGATTTTAATAGGTTCAGTGTGCATAATATACATTCTGAGCATTCTGAGAATTCTTATCATTATAATGTAAGATTATAATATAGTATAATATATTATCTATAATTTAGCTAGTTTTAGACTCACGTGAATGTTTTGTAATATTTTCAGTTGGAAGAAGCTGAAAGGTTTGCCACAGCAGTTGTTGATCTCGGGGACAAAACATCAGAGTTCAAAGCTAAAGGCTACTTGGCACTGGGATTGACTTACAGTCTGCAGGCTACTGATGGTAAGATAGGAATAAACATTCTCACTTGGAAATTCTCATGCTGCCTAGAGATGGATACCTGGCAGAATGATAGACATTAAATCTTCTGTGTGCAGCCATTTTTCAGTCAATGTATTAAAGCTACTTCAATTAGTGTGTGGAATGAAATCTCCTCATTGTTCGTGGCACTGATTAAATATATCCTTTTCAGCGTCTTTGCGAGGGATGCAAGAGGTCTTGCAGAGAAAGGCTCTTCTTGCATTTCAGAGGTAAGTGGGTGTTGATCTTTCCATTTTGTTCTGCTATATGTAGTGCAAAGCTTTTATTATGTTCTAAAAAGAGACACTTGTAAAAGATGGTGTAATGACAACTTCACCTCTGGGAGTCTCCCATCATGAGAACAGAATGTATTTCTTTAGCATTTATTTCCATCATTTTCTGGCAGCATTACCTAAATTTATTTCTAGGGATTTCCTTATATTTAAAGACGTTTGTGTTGCTCCCTAGTATAAAATATTTGCTCAAATATCCTCATCTAGTAGGAAAAACCACACAGTGTAAAGTTTCAAGCTGTGGTTCAATGAGATAATGTTTCTAAGAGTTGTCCACTGATCAGATTGTATAGGAGGCCTTTGCAATTATCTCTGTAGAAGCAGAGCAATAATGGAGGCTGTGCTGCTGGGGTTGAGGGTGAAGTGCAGGTTTTGAGGTAGTAAGCTAGGGGAAAATGAAAATTCTATCTGGAAATGTAACAGTGTGGGCAATGGCAGTGCAAATGTCATCTTCCAAGTGCATTACCTGGAAGCAGTGCCATTGGGGATGACAGTAGTTCATTCTCATGGACTCTACAAATGAAATGACAATGAACAGGTGAATGATGACATTTCTGCCCCAATTATAGAAGAAACAAATCTTGGTGACAAAGCTGGCAAAAGTGCTGTGGCATCTAAATAAGTCTTTTATGTTTATATACCCTTGAAAACCCTTCTTTGGTGAGATAAGCCTAAATGCAGGGAAACAGGTCTGTGCATTAATGTGAAAATGAAGCCCTGGCTTTTTGGTGGTGATATTATATCTGAGGGGTTAGGATTGACAAATTGTTTTGCAGATAACTTCAGAGTGAGGCTGGTATGTGTTGCTCCTTCTTTTTTCTGTCTTGTCTTAGCAATTCCTCTGTTTAACATAAGTTTGTTTTAACATAAGTATGTTTTAACATATCTTTACTCTTCTGTTCCTTAGTGCTTTTAATAGATTTTTTAATACTTCAGTATTTTCTCCATGTTGAAACTGAACTTTCTACCTCTTGGTTTATACCTCAGTTCCTCACCTATCCCTCTTACCACTACTGACTTAATCATCACTGTTTCAAAAGTAGTATGCTAACCATTTTTCACCAATTCTGTGCATTCACTACTTTTGAGACCGCAACAATGAATTGCTTTCTTTTGAGGGTTCTTTGAAACAGCAGGGAAGAAATGGACCATAGTGTGAAGCTAACCCATTCCTGTTCAGTGTCAGCTGACCCTATTCTCCAGTTCAGAATAGTGATTCTCAAAATTCTGAGAATCAATTTTTTGGATGGCTCAAAGCCATCTTCAGCCTGGCCTTGCACACTGCCTGGGATGGGACATCCACAACTTCTCTGGATGTGTTCCAGTGCCTCACCATCCTCATAGTGAAGAATTTCTTCCTAATAGCTAATCTAAACCTACTCTCTTCTAGTTTGAAGACACTAACCCTCTTCCTATCCGTACCTAACTTTGTAGAAAACTCCTCTCCAGCTCTCCTGTAGGACCCCTTTAGGTGGTGGAAGGTGCTGTAACATCTTCCTGAGCCTTCTGTTCTCTGTGCTGAGCAATCCCAACTCTCTCAGCTTGTCTCTAAAGGGGAGGTACTTCAGCTCTCTGGTCATTTTGGTGGCTCTCCTCTGGACCTACTCTGACAGGTCCACATCCTCCCTGTGCTGGGACCCCCACACCTGGACACAACACTCCAGGTGGGGTCTCATGAGTGTGGAATAGAAGGGGAAAATCACCTCCCTTGCCCTATGGTCAGACTTCTTTTGGTGCAGCCCAACACATGGTTGGCTTTTTGGCCAGTAAAAGCACATTGCCAGGTCATGCCAATATTCAGTTCTTGTCACTGTGAGATTACTTTTTCTCAATCTCTGTTCAAATGTTGTTGTTTCATTGTGTGTTACGTTGTCTTTCACCCAGCACACCAGTCATGCCTGCTTTCTCTTACCATATCTGAAAAATAAAAGTTTTCCAGGAGATGGAAGTTAAATTCTCTGTCTTCTACCAGTTTATAAAGCAAGTGGTATTGGTATTTTGATGTGCCTTTCTTTTTTTCCCAATAAATTTTTTTGTGGATTTTTAAAATCACCTACCTAGAGGGCCAATTCCTGAAGAAATAGGGCTCCTGAAGAAATACAGTTACAATTTGGACCCTTGCCTAAGTCAAATTTCAAGGCTTACCAATTTGTGTTGGTGGCCATTCAAGAAAGTGCCTGTTGCTGTCTTCATACAATACTGAGGGGTGTTTGTTTCACTAACTTTTTTTTTTTTAAAAGACTTGCAGTGCTTTTTCTGTGGCTGGCATGAATTGGAGTTTCACAGAACTCACCAAATGGTCGATAGATAGTAATAATTCTTTCACTATCTGAAGCTTGGGTTACTGAAGAAGTACTCTCTAAGTAAAAATCTCATGTTCTTGTTTAGTATTGCTTAATTTGTGAATTTAAATTTAAAAAAAGAACTGGTCCTGGACCCTGTTAGGCTTTACCTGTGCATCTAGTCTCCAATTTACAGGTGAAGTTAGCAAAATATGGAGCTGTCCCTTAATTACTTTAAACTTTTTTGACATATCTGGGGTGTAGTTACTAAGCTAATGTACATCATGGACCTGTACAGCTGTTTGAAGTTGAGAAGGCAGAAATGCACAGGTCAGAAGCAGAAGGTTCTCTGTGGTTTTTGTGGTTTAAAGGTCAGTTTTGATGCTTCCTCCCAACGGAAGTGACTCAGTAGATGTTCCAAAGATGATTATTGCACATTAGAGTTCTAAGTGAGACTCTGTTAAAAGAATGCAACAAATGTAAATAAAAAAATAGTCCCAGGCTTCCTGCCCAGAACTTAGTACACATCATTTGGGATACAGCCATGATTTTTTTGTTTGTCCTTCTGCTCAAGCATCCCCCTGCTAAAAAGCTCTCACCTTGCAGCAGAAAGATTGTATTACAGGGGGGAATAGTAGAGTGTATTACAAGGACAGTTTCCATGGGATACTGAAATGACTAAGACTCAGAGTGTGCATTTGACCAAAATATTAAAAAGAAGATAACAAACATCATTTTTTTAAAAGTGGGAAAAAGCTGATATTATTCATTAAAGGCATGGTGTTCTGGGGAATTCATGTTTGGATTTTTTTTTCCCCCTTTTTTCTGTAAGAAAACTTTGTTTAATGAATTTTTTATAAATATTCTAAGTAATGACATGTAGTGTTTGTTTAGGCGTATAATTTATTTGAAGAATCATTTTGTATTAAAGATTTATTTTAAAATTTAAGCAGAAATGACATAATTATTTTCTATTGAAAATGAGTTTTCATGTGCCAAGGTGCTTCCTTTAAATCAAGGATAATTGAGAAGCATAAGAAAAATTGCTGAAATGAGCACCACTTTTATCAAAATATGAGTATACATGTAGTGAAGAGATCTGAATATAAATAAATGAATATATAGCATTTATGGGTCTGCCTAACCTGTCTGAACAGGGGGGAAATTAATTTTTGTTTTGTTTCTTTGTTTTTAAGGGCTCACAGTTTGTCTCCAACAGATCACTTGGCAGCATTCTACTTGGCACTGCAGCTTGCCATTTCCAGACAGGTTAGTTATGTTTTAAAAGTGCAGCATCATGCTGTCATATGAAGATTGGAATTTGTATCTGTTGATGAACAGAGATGAAGATTTCCTCAATAAAAACCCTGATTTTCCTTGTGCACTTATTCACATATATGGAAAAAACCCTGAAATACTCTCTCCAAACCCGTTCAGTCTTATGCAGTTCTCCAGAATTCTGCTATTATTTCCAGCTCTAGGATCAGAAATAAGACAGAAGTAATTCCACTTAATTCAGCATTTATGTTGCTAGACAGAGAGGAAAAAAGTCAGTTTTTAAGGTGTTTTTACCTATTATGTGTAATCTCTGCTCAGATCCTAGAAAGGGGAGCTCTTGAATCCAATCTTAAAGATCTTTACAGTGCTTAGATCTTGAGTACCTGCTAATATCTGTGCCCATCCTGAACACCTGTGTGAGGCTTAGTTATTGTGGACAAAATTACAAAGAAGTGTTCAAGAAAACTGGAAACTATTTTATTACTGTAAAAGAAATCAGAGCTTAGTCCAACTTGCAGAGCTGTTATGTTTAAGGCATTCTACCTCACATGAGATGAATTTGGATAATGTGGAACTGCTCTCTGTATATCATGGTAAGTCTCTTCCTATGTCGTGTTTATTTCACAAAGTAGCCCTGAGCACAGTTGTTTACATTCTCTAGTGACTACTTTTCATTGCTAATGAGTAGTGCAGAACTTGGACTATGTCACTTAAGAGTGGAATGGATTGTCACTTTACTGGCACAAAATATTTTTGAGGAGCAGGCAGTGACTGCTCAGATACATTCTGAATTCCAAAATACTTGTGTTGCTTAATTAAATTTCTTGGTTTTAACACTTACTGTACTTACTTTGAACAAAAACACAGGCAGCTGAGGAGACAATGAAATTCTACATAAAAATGTTGCTGTTGCTGTACATTTCAGTTAAGCATTGCAATTAAAATATTTTCAAAATCATACAGAAATACAGCTAGGATGGGAAAGAAAATATTTTAAGGGGCTGAAGGTAACTGTTTTATAAAAACATTCGTCTTACTTTCCAGGGTTAACATATTATTTAATTTTCAGAGTTTCTGTAGAGCATCAGGTCCATTTTAAACTGCTGAGTAGTGTTTTACAGGAGTGAATAGAATTCCACATGTTACCTGAGTGAGCATTTTGAAATTTTTGTGGATATCAGTCAAGTAAAAGGCAATACTTTTAACAGTGATGCTTTCTTTTTCTGCCTTTTTTTTCTTTTTTTCCATCAGATACCAGAAGCTTTGGGTTATGTTCGTCAGGCTCTGCAGCTACAAGGAGATGATGCCAACTCTCTTCATCTCCTTGCACTCTTGCTATCAGCCCAGAAACATTATCATGATGCTTTGAATATCATTGATATGGCCTTGAGTGAATATCCAGAAAATTTTATGTGAGTGAATGTCATGTTTCCTTTCTATGCTTTCTTTTGTATTTATTTTTCCTGGATTCTCATCTCATTCATTTCAAGAGGGGATGGATTGGAAGATGGATCAATTTTTTTTTTCCAGCAGTCTTCTTTCCCACCCATTTATTGCAAGTCTGTTTATTAAAGGCTTGTTAAACAGTGATAAAGGATTTGTTTTGAAAAGGAGATTAAAACTGGATAGTTGATCTTTGTTTTTTTCTACACCATCTGTGTAAATAAATTCTCCCTGTTGCATGCTTTGTACTATGTTTGTGTCTTCTATTTTTATACAATATGGTAAGAAGTATAAACAGGAATTTACTACTAGCTAGACTAGATTTATCCCATCTTACAGATAATTCTGTGGATATTGTATGGAATCTATTTTGTAAAATACATCATAAAAGAGAGAATCTCCTCATTTGCTTAGATAATAACAGTCATGTGAAGTTGGTTATGGACAACTACATAAGTGAGCAGGGAAGAAGCATATTTGCTAGATGTTTTCTTGTTTAAGAAAGAAATCATTCTTTCTGTTTATTTTTCGAGTTAAGTACATCTTAACATATATTGAGATTTTGTACTTTTGTAAGGGTTTTGTTTGTTTGTTTGTTTGTTTTTTGTTTTTTTTTTTTTTGTTTTTGGTTGGTTTGTTTTTTAAAAAATTATTTTAAGAAAATCTAATAAAATTCTTTATCGGAAAATGTCTCAGGGACAGCTTCCATTAACTCATTAACTTCCAGTCTTCTGCTTTGGTGCTTTACCAGCTGTCACTCAGGTTGTAATCCATTATATTACACATATTCTACATACTTATTTGGACAAGTTTTTGCAATTAACCCATAACTTCTAAATGACAAGCCTATATCATAAATTGTTGTTATATCAGCCTACCAGCAAAACATGATTTCTTTAAGTATTATTCATTTGAAAATAGAAACTATGGTGGTTTCCCTTCCTGTTCCTTGACATTTCATATCTCCATTTGATTGTCTCTATAAGGTACTGTTGCTTTTTCCCTCACAAATCTGACCAGGACCTCTGTTGATATCACCTCTTGTTAGAATTTTTGTGGCTTGCAGCCAGTTCTGTGCAGTGGCTTTTGTTGCCTTTTGCTGTATCTCATTCCTAGTTTATCTACACACTCATGACTTGGTTCTGTTCTTATCAAGGACTTCTATAGATGTTTCACAATTTCAGAACTATGTAGTAGTTTCTCTTCAAATCTGTTTGTGCTTTCCTCAGGACTGAGGGACTTGTCAGTAAGTCAAGATTTGAGAGGCAATTGAAGTATCAGCTTCCTGATTTTATACCCTATTATTGTTAAAGACAAATATGTTCAAAGCACTTTGACTGTCAGCTTCTGTCTGTTCTCATTTCATCTTCTGCCACTTAGTGGCAATGTAAATAATGTAGCTATAACTGCTATGTGTCTCAGAGTACTAATAGTCCAGAAGTAATTCTGAGACTGTACTTTCAGAATTCTCTATTGTTACAAGAGAACTCCCTATTATATTAATCTCTGTTGTAATGGGAGAACAAGGGTCCATTTAGTATAATGTTTAAAAATACTCTTGTGAGCCTTCAGAAGGTATTTATGGGTTTTTCAAATGTGGTTCACGGCTTTTCAAAAGTAGTTTATGCTGTAACTCTGGTTAAAATGTTGTCCAAGTTGTTCATTACAGTAATGATATTTGTATTAAGGTATGTGTATGTAAATATAAATATATATAAAAAAATATATATAAAATACAGGTCATAGTAGTGGTTCTAAATTTTTTGTCCTGTTGTATAATAGAGACTCTGTGGTGATACAGTGTACTGTGTTACAGTGTACTGGTACAGATCTAGGAATTTCTTGGCAATAGTAATCACCATCAGATATAGTAACAAATGCTAAAGAATCCAAGGTGAAACAGTTAAATGTATCTCTAGAAAGTCTCTCAGAGTCTTGTTTTTAGTGCTGTCAATTTCCCAGAGAAGTCGAAAATATGATTGAGATTTCTTGTCTGCTCTCTCCAATTGATACTGACAGCCAGCCAGGCACATCTGGTCAATAATATAAATTTGGATTGATTCTGTCGTGTAACTGGGTTATTTTTGCAAGGATTTATCAGCTTTTGAAAACTATATGTAATGCTCTTGAAATGGTTGACAACATGTACGTGCATATATATAGAATACAAAACACAACTGCTTAGTGTATTACTGAATCCATGTTCTTATTTTGCAACTTCTGTAAACAATATAATCTCATGGTATTTCCTGGTAGACTGGGAATAGATCCTCTAGTGATCCTCTACAGCTTGCTGATTTTTAGATACACTGAAACATTTTGTTATTTTCCTGTGGTGCTTTATTGGGTTTTATAAACACTTCAGATGTCTTTATGCTTTATATTTCACTTATGTCTGCAATCCAGTAAGCTAAATACTATAAGAGTTCTCTCGGTATTCTCTGTGTTTCTGTTAGGATACTTTACCACAGCTTTATGTAAATTGATACTGTGATGGCTTTGCAGAGTAATGAATCTCTATACTTGGAAATATTAAAGCATAGTGCTTGTGATTTATGTTATTTCTTACTTCTCTCATTTCTTGTGCATTATTCCTATCTACATACCTCTGTATGCTGTTGTTGCATTGCTGCCCTGAGTGCTGTTCTTGCTCTCTTCACAGTTGCATATTCTTTTTGTTTTGCATTGCTTTAAAAGTATCTACATTTTCACAAGTTTAATACTGCATCTTTGTAAAATGCCAGAGGTTGCAAGGAACTCATAGGATACACCATGAATAATGCAGAGAAGTGGCTCCTTTCCAGCACTCTTCTGTTGTAATCAATTAGAAAATATATTGTCTGTCAGTTTTTGACATTTGAAAACCTGGTGCATTCCTGGAGTTCAAGTTCAATATTTGAAGTGTACAGCAAGCATACCTTTGGATCTGCAATTAATATTACCCTTCCTGCACTATAAAGCTAGAGAGTTGGCCAATCAGATCATGATTTTGCCCTGGGCATCTTAGGTCAATAAGTAGAAGGAAATTCCTCAGAGCCAAAGAATTCTGTCCAATCATTATCTAAAGAAATGGAAGGAATGAGCAAACACACTGGGCTGTTAGCAGCAAGGTATAGCTTTTTCTTTGAATAGAAAGTTGCTTGTTCCTCCTATATTCATTATATTGGCAGCATAAATGTGCAGTTTGCTCTGAGATATGAATAGGTATTGGAAAAACTATTGACAAAAATCCAAGAAACCTGTAAAAGTAAAATATGTAGTAATATTTTTCAGAGATACTAAAAAGAAAGTTATTTGCTGACTATTTTTAGCACTATTTTTTCAAACTTCTTGTAGTCTTAAATTGCTAGGTTGTAGCCACTCTATTTATAAAGAAATCAGCTGTGTGAATATAATCAATCTCCTTTTAAATGCTAGCTGATCTTTGAAGCGTCCTGCAATCCGAGCATGCTTTACTCTAGGGACAAAAAGGTCTCTAGACAAAAGATTACTGAACAGGTTAAGATCCTGAAAAGTATGAATACTGTACTCAATGTCAATACTGAGATGGGTGGGAATAAAGTGGCAGCACTAATAAACCTGAATACGTAATCCCAATCAGGTGCTACTTTGTTTGAATTCATTGAAAGTTAAGCGTTTTCTCCTTTCATTAGGAGCTTGTCCAGTAGTAGAAATAGGAAATTCAGTTCTCCAGCTTGACAGGATTTTAACCCACAAATGACGTAGCTCAGAGTCCATGTTTAACCATCAAACTATATGGGAAGCTGAGTGAGATGATCCCTTTCTCCTCCTGAAACAGAAGCCAGGATGTGCTGCCCTGAATGTGAGACTGGGCAGGAAGGAGCCACAACATATCCTAAATTGCTAAAGCCATGAGCGGGGCTTCAGGTCTCAGTTGCTTGGGTTTTCCTTGAGTTTCATTTCTATTAATCCAGTGGTTTCCTACTCTAAATGTGTAAGCTGTCTCAGAGGTGTGCATTCCAGTCTGAGGGTGTGTTCAGGGTGATGCAAGATAGTAGTGGTTGCATTGCATTGGTTCATATTTGCCTTGTGATATATACAATATGTATCCTGCATGTGCAATTACCTGAGCAGCCTTATTTACAATAGCCTCTTTCTTTTATCTGCTTGTTACAAGGAATTTATGTCTTTGTGGTGTATTGAATGATGTGAAATCTTGAAACACTTCTGGTTTTAATGCATAATTATTACATATGTTTTTATATAATTTAAAACAATTAATCTCAGTCAAGAGAGATGGAGTCAGGTTTCCTAGAGAAGTATTGTTTTCTTAATCTTAACTGTTTGAGGTTCCCCTAATATTTCAAATGCTGGGGCACTTAAATACAAATATAATGCCTACAATTAGTGTAATTAGGCAAAATAAATAGTAAATTGCTAATTTTATGCTAAAAATTGAACTGCAATGGATAGCAGCTGACAAGCTTTTAAAGTAGCAGAAGTAGGGAACAGCAGATGGGTTATTTGAGGAGTGCAAGCATGTTATTTTAATGTTAAGTACACTCAAAAAGGAAAGGCATATGGTAACAGGTTTGAAGACAACTGAAGACTTAGTTCACAGTTTAAACATTTACATTTCTTGAAGTGTGATGAAAATTTTTTTTTCTTCCAAGAATATTTCACAGAAGCATCAGGCCAATATGTCATTCCTCTGAAAACTATTAAATCTTTGCTTCCTGACCCTCAAGGGCTCTTTTGAGCTGCATTAGATTTCCCAGAATCACAGGACCTTTTAACATTTCTCTCAGTTCAGTGAGTAAAAAACTTGTTTCCTTCTTGGAAACGTCCAGGTGGGCATAAAAAAGAGCTGGTTAGTACAGGCAGTGTAGGATTATACACATACACAAAATGTTTTGTGGGACAGGAAGAGGTTTATCAACTGAAGGAAACAGACTACCCTGTTCTGCTTTCCCAAGGTCAGTTGTAGTTGCACTGCAGAATGTGGTGC